TAGAGCATCTGGGAGTGGGGAGTGCCACCCACGTGTCCCAGCAGGAAAATTGTACCTCACGGGTCTCTTTTTTTGGAACCAGTTGTCTGACTTGAGCCCTTGGTATCATCTCCCTCGCTTGCTTGCAGATTTTCCACATCCTGATCTCTCTGTTATGCTCCAGACTTTAGCCTCTTCCTCTCTCTTACTTATCAGATCCAACTGTGATCCCCCAGACTCCAATTGGGAGCTGTTTTTGTGTTGGATGGTCACTGTGCTGACTTATCACCGCTGGGGAGTGTGGGGGACAGTTGGAAACCGGGACCTCATCCTATGGAGATCTGATCTGAGAGCCATGCCCACCAAAATTGGCAAGAAAGGTTTTCTGAGATGGAGTCAGTCTGCTTCCAGTGCTGGGGTACTGGTGAGTTGGGGGACTTGGGCAATGGCCTTGTGCCATGGATAGGTAGCAGCCAAGTGATCTTTGTGGGAGCTGAGCACAATCTGGAATTGAGGTGCTGATAGATGATTCTGCTAAGCTACTTGAGAGCCATGTGTGAGCTAGAACTGTGGGCTTTGGGTCTGCGCAGTCCAGAATTCTACTCGAACCCTGAGGCTCTGAGTTCTGCACAGGGGGTCAGAGCGCTGGTGATTTCTATCTAAATCTGCTGTATAGGTGTCCTCTCACACTCTCTGAAATGCATTGTCGTGACTAGATGAGACCTGGGTCATAGAGCAACACAGGATGCTGCCTCTCTCTGGCCCATCTTGAAGGGGGAAGCCTGGGAGTAATTCTTTAAATAAGCTCTGTAGTGCCAGTTTAGTAGTCACAAATTCTTCTAGTTTCTGCTTATGTTGGAAACCTTTTTTCTTCTTCTTCTTCTTCTTCTTCTTTGATTTTTAAGGATTGCTTTGCTGGATACAGCATTTGGGTTGACAGTTGCTTTCTTTAAAGACTGTGAACACATGATTCCAAGCCCTCCTGGCTTTTAGAGTTTATGCTCAGAAATCTGAAGTGATTCTTATTGCCTTGCCTCTAAATGTGGCACTTTTTTATGTAGGTTTTTTAAAGTTAACCTTATATTATTCTCTTGAGGATTTTTTTTAATTTCAATATTTATTTTTCAGGAGACA